TACTCTGTGAGATAAAGTGTCACTCTTTTCACAGCTTTTTGGCTCTGAGACACTTTCACAGTGTTTCTCCTGCTCTTTTTCTAGTAAAAACTCACTTATCACTAAATGAAAGCTTAAAGTGAATACCTGATTATTTCAGGGGCCTTTCCACAAGTCCATTGTTTTTTAATTTCTGTGTTACTTTGGCTATATTTTCACACTTAAAACAATAATTTGGTGTTCCTCTTGTACCATTGTCCTCTTTTATGCTAAGAAATAAGTCACCTGGCAGTTCTCTCCCAAGTGGTTCCACTGCTGCCAGCATTAAGTCCGAGTATGATTCAGTGGGCTATATAACACTTTTAATTGTCAGGAAATTACTTGTCTTTAAAAGTTTTGGTTCAATATACTTACCTGTTGATCAAAAATAGCCTTAAACCTATACCCTTTTTTTGTTTAGAATTTTACACTTAACATTCATTTTATTTTAAATGATGAAAATGTTTTTGTATTGTTTTGTATTTGTTTTAGTTTGATAATGACCCTGGTATAAATATTATTAATTATTTTATATATAATAAGTAATTAATCAATGCAGACTCTAAAAGAAAACAGGAATACAGAAGAATTATTTTTGTTTTTTAAGGAAAATTAGAAATGTTGATTTATATATATATATATATATATATATAATTAATAAAATGCATAGAAATACAAAATAATAGAATAAAATAATACAAACTTCTGTAAGAAATTTTTCAAGTTTTAAAAAGGTTTGTATATAAAACCTTTGTTTTTATATACAAATTTTTTTTAATGAACTATAATTAGTCAACATTAACAATTGCCAATTTAATACATTTAGTAAATTGCAAAATGTCATGAATGAATTTAATAAGTTACAAATAAATTACTTCCCTGGTCATACATATGTGTCAGATTCATTGCTTTGTTATTCTTAAAAAATTTTTTAAATACCTTTAATAATCTGATCTAATTGTATTATTTGTTTCTATAATCAAAATGTAAAAATTTATAAATCGCTTTTCCTTTCTGCTAATATAACCATGACATTGAGGGCGGGGCCTAAATATTAACCAATTAATTTTTGGCTTAGTGCGTTCCAAAGTCAAATAATCCAATCAAATCCTGACAGATAAATCAAGTCCCGCCCTACATTACTTGTCTTTTAATATGTACACATCATATTACATCACTTTATGGAAGTTAAATGATATGAAAATGCCTTTTTGTAACTTTTTGCTTTGCTTTTGTCCTCCACGTGGTTGTGTTCTGAATTCTATCAGTGATTTTGCCAAGATATGATATATCTTGACATTTTCTGTTTTAGGTGAAATGTCATCAATACTGGCCAAATGTTTCGGCAAGTGGCACCTATGGAGGCTTTCAGGTTACATGTGTGTCAGAGGAAGGGAACTCAGCATACCTGCTCAGAGATTTGATGCTTACACACTTGGAGGTGCACCAGAATTTTTTATTTTTTTTTAGTAACTTTCAGGAGGGTGTATTCATTTTTGCAACACAATATTTTATCACTTTGATAAGAAAATGGTATTTTCTTGAATAATTTTAACGTTCTTGCTTTGTTATTCTTAAAAAATTTTTTAAATACCTTTAATAATCTGATCTAATTGTATTATTTGTTTCTATAATCAAAATGTAAAAATTTATAAATCGCTTTTCCTTTCTGCTAATATAACCATGACATTGAGGGCGGGGCCTAAATATTAACCAATTAATTTTTGGCTTAGTGCGTTCCAAAGTCAAATAATCCAATCAAATCCTGACAGATAAATCAAGTCCCGCCCTACATTACTTGTCTTTTAATATGTACACATCATATTACATCACTTTATGGAAGTTAAATGATATGAAAATGCCTTTTTGTAACTTTTTGCTTTGCTTTTGTCCTCCACGTGGTTGTGTTCTGAATTCTATCAGTGATTTTGCCAAGATATGATATATCTTGACATTTTCTGTTTTAGGTGAAATGTCATCAATACTGGCCAAATGTTTCGGCAAGTGGCACCTATGGAGGCTTTCAGGTTACATGTGTGTCAGAGGAAGGGAACTCAGCATACCTGCTCAGAGATTTGATGCTTACACACTTGGAGGTGACCTATCTCTTTAAATGTTTCTTATTTTTAGTGTAAATAGATTTCTGTGCTAATATCAGTTTGGATTTGTGTTCAGAGTAAAGAAGAAAGGCAGATTTGTCAGATGCAGTACTTGGCATGGCCCGATCATGGCGTTCCAGAGGATTCGTCAGACTTCTTGAACTTTGTCAGTCAAGTACGCAGCAAAAGAGCGGATGCATCAGAACCTGTAGTGGTTCATTGCAGGTCATGCCTAAAAAATGTCCTGACAGTATCCACAATCAAGATCTCATAAGCTGAAAAATACACCATAATGGTCAACAAAATGTTTATTAACTCCACCCCTTTTTCTTCTAGCGCTGGGATTGGTCGCACCGGGGTGCTTATCACCATGGAGACAGCGATGTGTTTGATAGAAACTGGTCAGTCGGTGTATCCTTTGGACATCGTCAGAACCATGAGAGACCAGCGTGCCATGATGATCCAGACTCCTGTGAGTAGTCTAGTCCACATTGCAGCTCCTTCTGGCCAAGAACCACCCACTTAGATAGGAAGAGACTGTTTGATTGACAAGTAATGTTACGTTTAGTATGTAGATGCGCATTTAAATGCAAAAGCTTTTTCCAAAAACAATTTATAGCAGTAGATTAATACAGACAGACTCTCTAAAAACCGCGTCAAACCAGTTAATTGAGTTGCGTTGAATTGATCCACTACCGTTAACTTCACGTTCAGATGCGCATTTACAGTATGGCAAATGCTTTTTCCCCAAAGCAATTTATAGTTCTGTCATGAGCTACAGGAACAATTTAGTTGAATTACTATTAAGTAACTCAAACAAAGTTTATAAATATCTAAGATTCCATGCTACAAACTTTGCAAATTAATCGAACGATTAATTCTTCCCTTGTGTATTGATATTTTTCCCACAAAACAATTTTGAGTTCTACTATGAACTACAGGAACAATTTAGTTAACTTGCTATTAAGTATCTCAAAATATCTAAGATTCGACACTAAAAACTGTGCAAATTTTGGTTAATCCAACGACTAGTTCTTTCATGTTAGAAAACAGACTTTCAAAGATTGCGTAAAAGCAAATCTTATTGCGTTTGTGTGTAAATGCAGTTTTGTTTATTCATTAAACATCTGAGTCACTTGACATCCATTTTGTTTGTTTTCAGAGCCAGTACCGTTTTGTCTGTGAAGCGATTCTGAAAGTTTACGATGAGGAGATCGTAAAGCCGTGCGAGACTGAGCCTCCGGTCGAAAAGGAAGAATGAACGCCGTCCTTCAACATTTCGGAGGTTCTTCTGTGATTTTCAACTACTGCCAGTGAGATCTGCGCTCAGCTCGCTGTCGCCCCCTGCTGGAAGGCAGCGGACATGACTGCCTGCAAGCTAGAATACAGACGAAAAAGCACTATTGCACTTTACAGCGACAAACAATGACTTAAGGATTTTTTGTAAAAAAACAAACAAACTAAATATCAGGTTACTGATGAGTTTAGGTACTCTTAATAATGTTAATTATTTGGGTTAGAGAAAGAAATTTGCTTTTGCTTTTGTGCCAAAAGCTGAAATGATCCACAGTCCATGTCAGAATTAACTCTTGCAACTAACGACAGCACGTTTTTTGTTTTATTTATTTGTTTTGGGGGATTTTTAACAGTGAACTTGAAAGCAACAGGTGCTCGGCCCATTCTCTTCCCTTTTCCCGACTGTGACTGTAATTGTTTTAATGTTTATGTTTGAAACAAGTTAAAATCGTTAACATACTTTTTTTTTTAATTGTTGAACAAAAACAAAGCTTTTAACGATACACATTTAATTAGTTTTTACCCTGGCGCTTTAAAGATAGTCTTTTGTAAAGTACTTTCGTTACTTGATAAAGTTTCCATGGTAGTTCTCTCTAAATTTAGCGAAATTAACAGGCCACCAGCTGCGTTGAAAATGAGCCATGGTAAAGATGTTTCTTGCTGCCAAATTTCACAGCTGTTTGCCTCTAAAACTGATTGGTGTGTCGCTTTGGCTAATCGATATTTATTGCAAGGCTACGTGTAGTAGCTACGTAACGGCTGGCATTTGTATCGTTGAATATGCATCAGGCAGCTGTTCTTCTTTCAGATCCATGTTTTCCGGATCTTTGAAGCATTTTATTTAGAAAATAAAGCTGTGAATTTCACATTAGCTTCGTTGGCGTAAACTGGATTCTCAATTGATAAGTATGGATGCAAATTAAAAGTTTAATGTACGATTTAGTCTAGCGTTCTCTCTGGTTAGCGTAAAGATCATCACATATTCACAATTACCAATTTTCTTCCATGTTTACGATCAAATTTTCAAAACTTCTACTGTAAGAAACCGATTATCTTCAGATTTTAGTTGTTCATCTTGTATGAATAGTTTTGTGTTTTTCGTTGAGAAAAAGTATCTGCTCCACTCTCTGAAGATACCGGTTTAAATTCTGCTTATGATTGGTTATGCTTATCCATATCTCCTCTTCTCTAAATCGTTACCTGCAATATACTCAAAAGGTGGTCATAGTTCATTTAGTTCTTGCTTTGACTGTAGAGATGATGGCATTTACAGAGCTCATTGGGCGCTTTAATGTTTTATTCACTGCAAGTGCAAAATTTAACGATCAATACATTTAACGCATTTTTAGTTTTTAGGTTATAATTTTCTGCATTCTGAAAAGAAAAGATATGTAAGAATTATGGAGCAAAACGTTTTTAATATGACACTCCGGACCATCGTAATTGTTTGCGAATGTTTTTATGAACATTTCCCCCTTACAATGTTTTGCGGTGCCATTGCACAAATGATTTGGCATTAAGGACCAATCACGCCCACCGTTTTGAATGTGAGACGATTTTGCTTCAGTGTACGTCATGATAGCGCAGCAGCTAGAAATTTACTACCGATTTTGCGTCGGAAGTGGTGGTATTTTTGTATTTAACAAAAAAACGAATAAAAAAAAGGACAGCACTTTGCAACTGACTGTGGTAGTCAGCTGTGCTACTGTAGAATTTATACTGTAATTGTGTGATGGGGGAAAATATGCTGTTTAATTATTTATGTTGAACATTTTGTCCAATACAGACACCTGTGGGGGTGGGGGGCTCTTAACTACATAGTGTCATATGTGAAATACTTGTAAATACAATGTTATATATTAAAAGTGTTCTGAAAAGATAATGGTGGTTATTTTTGTTTTAGTATGTTTTTAAAATGTCAGAAAAGTACACAGGAAATTGTATGTCATGTTTGTATATCTCCCAGTTGTGTTTGTGAGAGAGCGAGTACGTCTTTTGTACAGACTGTTTTGTTTCTTACTGGCGTACCTTTTGAAATTGTGCTTAATTAAGCTGACTCGTCTTTTGGCGCTTGTGACACACGTCAAATCAAATATAATACAGCTCAAACTTCTATTTTCAGTGTTGTTTTTGATAAATATCGACCTGCTACTCATACAGGAATGAAAGAACAAACACATTTAATTTCGCAGCTTGTCTTTTTATTTTTTCTTGGCATTTCACATGAGATGTTGAACAGGGATAATTTAATAAGCCATATTGAGGCTGAAAATTCATGCCAGCTTTATGGATCTCATTGCTGTCGTTTTTACTTCTTCATGACCTCAATGTCAACATCCTCTGTTCGAGAAACAACCTTTCCGTCAACCATCTCTTCGATTACTGTGCGAACACGCTTGGTCACCACAGGTTCGGCTGGAGTGGAAAAAATAGAAAATCGTAAGTTAAAAGCTACACAAATGCATGTAATTATCAACATTTTAATTGTATTTCAATTGAAATTATTTAAATTGATTCATGTAGTATAATACATTTTTTCCCCCCCAAAAAGGACATCCTTTAAAAACACTTACGCTTGGGAGGAGGAGTTACAATCTCTACAACTTTGACTGTCTGTCTCCTGTAACAAAAAAAATAAAATAAATATTGTACAACTTTTGTGGTCTTTATAAATACAACGTTCATTTGTTTATTTGTAAAAACTTACTGCATTATCTCTCCATCCAGAAGTCTCCTGTACTCCGCGATCTCCAACTCTAGTCTAGTCTTGATGTCCAGGAGCAGTTTGTATTCACTGCCCTGTCTTTCGATGTCCATGCGCACCTGAGAAAGCTCCGCCTCCAGACCGTTAATGACGGCCTGCAATTGGCTGAGCTGGAGGCTGTACCGTGACTCTGTCTCTCCCAGTGTGCCTTCCAGTGCTGCTTTCTGTCAAAGCATAACGCATAGAAGAACGGTGAGGGTGCGTAATAAATTGCGTAAGTGGCTCCCTCTAGAGGCAGCTATTGCAAAATGTCTTTTTTTCAACATTATTGATTAAAGTTTGTAGAAACTTGAGCATAGAATAATAATTAGGGGTGTGGCTGTGCATGTTGGATAAAATAAATCTCCCCCCAAGTGGTTGTAGAAATGTTTTTAATATTAAATTAAAGTTAGTATGAATTGCAAAGAGAAAGAAATACTTTTACCAAGCTGAACTGTGACTGTAGTTCGATCTCCAGGCTCTGAAGCGTCCTCCTAAGCTCGCTGATTTCACTGCGGGACAATGTGATGTCTTCTTGTCTGGTGGTTACCGTCTTGTTCAGTTCGTCGAACTGTGGGGACAGATTTGAGGTCAATGTCTGAATGATCGTGTATGTTTTAGCCATCGAGAATAAGAACAAACACTTACTTTGCCCTTGTACCAGGACTCCATTTCTCTGCGGTTCTTATCGATGGCGCCCTCATACTGGTGTCGGATCTCCTCCAAGATGCGGGCCAGGTCTTGCTGAGGTGCGGCGTCAACCTCTACGTTTACGCTGCTGGAGGATATTTGAGCGCGAAGGGCTGCAAGTTCCTATAGAACAATGATATAGATGTTAGCTTATGCACCTTTTCGTACATTGCACATTTTTCAAAGAATGGTTTGTTCTGAAAAGTGGCAATTGATATTGTAGGAGATGGAGGTGCTTGATCTTTGACTAGTGAAATTTCGCAAAATAGTTGCAAATTGCTCCCTCTAATTGCAGCTAGCAGGAAATTTATTTTTTAACATTCATAATAAAAACTAGTAGGAATTTGAACATAGGGTAATAATCAGGGGTCTGGCTATGCAGTTTCGATCCCCCTAGTGGTAGAGGAAATTATTAAAATTTTACATTAACTTTCACACAAAATTCCCAATTGCACGGATTCCTATTGGTGTGGTAAATGTGACTGCACCTTAAAGCTTTGAACTCCAATGCTTCAGGTAACATTTAATTACAGGACTAGGGTTTCTAATAGTGCCTAATTTTTTACACTTATTAATTACACTTGATTGGAGAAGATTATTGGTTTGGTGGATTATTTGGTAATGATCTTGCTTCACTGCACCAGGTTTGCCCTGCCTGGAGGGCCATAAAACGTTTTTGATCTCACCTCTGCATGGTTCTTCCTCAGGTAGACAAGCTCTTCCTTCAGACCCTCAATCTGCATCTCAAGGTCTGAGCGAGTCATGGTGAGTTCGTCCAGAACCTTTCTCAGACCGGTGATATCAGCCTCCACGGACTGACGCAGGGCCAATTCATTCTCGTACCTTAAGCTGCAAAGAATAACAATGGTTAGGTTGGGAATCTAGAAAAACTCAAGTGTTAAAATTTGGGGTGTGACATTAACAAGCTCATAAAATCAGGGGAAACCCTTGCTGGGAATGAAAGATTGGTTTACCGATTGGTTTATCTAAGCTGTTTTTTACTTAATTACCAGAATGGAGTGTGATATTAAAGTTATATAAACTTAATGAAAAGAGATTTTAAATGATGGAACTAGAAGGTAAAGGCTTTTGTTGTACTAACTTGACTCTGAAGTCCTCGGCTGCCAGTTTGGCGTTGTCAATCTGAAGGATGATTCTGGCATTGTCCTGGCTGGCGACAGCGATCTAAAGACAAACAGATAAAGAATAGAAACTCCCTGACCTTTACATTTATTTATTTATGTATATATATATATATTTTTTTTTTATGTATCCATTATATTGCTTGTATATGTGTTCTAAAACATGTCTATATAGATTATTACTTTTTATTTATTAGTTTTTATTTGTAGTTACCTTATTACTTAAACTTGCTTTTTGTCAGCTAGTTGCCAAGATAACATTTCTAGTCTTCATTTCTAGTTTAGATTTTTGTTTTGTTTTTTAAATATAACAACACTGGTGACATTATTATCCAATATAGACATGCAGACCACAGGGATTGATCATCTTTTTTTTTTGTTTATGTTTTAGTTTTATTAATTTACTGTTTTACGTCAATAAAATATAATGGTTATAGTACTATGGTCATAAGTAGTGTAGTTTGCTTTTCATTGAAATATTTTTCATTTTCACGTTCCAAATAATATAACTTTTATAGTTATGTAATGTAAAATTACTCACTTTTTTGCGCAGATCTTCAATGGTGACGTAATAGTGGCTGTAGTCTCTGGAAACAGGGGCTCTCTTCTCGTACCACTCCCGGATCTGGCGCTCCAGTTGCGAGTTGGCTTTCTCCAGGGAGCGCACCTTCTCCAGGTAGCTCGCCAGACGGTCGTTGAGGTTCTGCATGGTGGTCTTCTCGTTGAAAGCCAAACCGAAGCCATTGTCACCTCCGCCGAGCGCGCTGGCCAGGTCGAAACCGCTC